CCACTCCGCTCGAGCAGCTTCCCGGGGGGCGGATGGCTCGCGTCCTCCTCCCGGGATCCACCTCCTCCCACCCCTCCTCCTGCCCCTCCCCTCCCCCGGAGACGCCCGGGGCCGAAGCCAGTCACCGGGTCCCGGAGGGGGGAGGCCAGCCAGGGAGGCCGCCTAGACGCCCGGACACCCCGAGGATCCTGCGAGCGCTCTTCCCGGGAGCGATGGCTCGGGGGCGCGGGGACAGGGCGGGGGCAGGGGGATGGTGGCCCCTTTCTGCAGCGGGCGGGACACGACGTGGGGCTTCCAGATAAGGGAGTGTCCCCTCCCGCCCCGCTGCAAGGTGGCTTCCCCGGGGGCGCAGGGACCGTCTGCCACCGGTCTTGCGCTCAGGGCTCGGCTTGGAGCTGCAAGGGCGACTTAAGCGCGCTAGCGGGTCTGAGCGGCGGCGGTGCTGGATGCGCGCTCGGCCCCCTGCGGCTGCCGGCCCCAGCCCCGCCGCCGCCGTCGCACACCCGGCTCCCGGGCCTGCTGGACTCAGACCCGGGGGCCGGTGCGCGCCGCCCCGCCCCGCCCCGCCTCCCAACATATCCCGCTGCAAACCACCCAATCCTGAGGCGCCGGGAGGGACGCGGGCCAATCCGGGGCTCCCGGCTCCTGCGCCCTCCGCCCCCCCTCTCGGCTTCCCCGTCCCGCCCAGCCCCCTCTCGGGAGGTGGCTCTCCAGCTCAGATGCCGGAAAACCTGCGGCGGCGGTTGTCACCTGGACACCCTGGTCCCCCGCTTGCGCACCCCTCCTCTCTGCCCCCATCCTCCCGCTGGTGCTGCTGAGGGTCATTTGCATCCTCACTTCGCCATGGCATTGCTAGCTGCTGTGTCTGATCAGCTGTCACCACCACCCTGAGACACTGGAACAAACCCAAGAAAGTGGGGTGTGTTACCTTTTTCTTCCCTACAGTTATCTTCGGAGGACGCGGACACCTCCCTTTCCCCGCCCAACGCCTAGGGCCCTGTTTCTTAGGGGCTTTGGTGTGTTTTTGTGGTTGTTGCTGTTTTAAACACCCTGAATCTGGCACCGGAAAGAAAACCTGCACCTTAGTTTTTCATTATTGCTGTGGCAGACACCAAACAGAATTTACAACTATATCCTCACTCTTAGAGGAAAGACGGTAACTCTATCACTTTTATTTGGCCATGAAATAGGCGTGTTCCTGACAGCCCCTGACCAAACTAGTCAGCCAATAGCCAATGAGGAAAAAAAAAAAAAAAGCCGGGCGTGGTGGTGGCGCATGCCTTTGGTCCCAGCACTTGGGAGACAGAGGCAGGAGGATCTCTGTGAGTTCAAGGCCAGCCTGGTCAACGTAGTGAGTTCCAGGCCAGCTGGGGCTACAGGGAAGACCCTGTCTCAAAAAGACCAAAAATTAATTAGTAAATAAGTAATAAATAAGAGGGCCTGCTCCTCAGTGATTTACTGAATAACCCACTGGTCTATAGCACATCCAGTTCTAACATATTTCTGGGTAAATCAACAAGAACCAGATAGAAACAGCGTTGAGTGGTCTCTACCTCTAGCTGGCTTAGCAAGTAAGAAAGGAAAGGGTTTACAGCAGCCCCTTATGGATGCATGCAGCTGAGGGTATCTCAGAGTTTTTGTAATAGAGTCTATAAATATTGATTTGGGAAGAGTGTTTCCATTTGGCTAGAGAATAAAACGTGGACCAGGAAAGGAGATGTGAAAGGAAATAAAATATATGTTAGGAATTACGGGAAAATAACATAACCTAGAAAGACAATGTTTCTATCAAAGGCAGTTATTTGTGAGAACCAAGATTATAATCCAGCTCCCTCATTTTCCATGTAACAGGGCAAACCTGTAATCCCAGCACTTGAGACAAAGAGGCAGGTGGATCTCTGTGAGACTGAGGCCAGCCTGGTCTCAGAAAACAAAACAACAAAAAGCATGTAGTGACAAATTATTATTTTTATGTAAGTACTAGAGGTAGTAAATAACAATATCAGCTGACATCTGGATATCTGTCTCCTGCTGGGTATTTCTCTAGGAGTTTCACATGCAACTTAAGGAGATTCCTGTGTGGTAGAAGAAGGATTCAACCCAGTGGGTCTGGCTCTAGAGTCCCTTCCTTTAATCACAGCATGCACTATCTTGGGACTGGAAAGCTGGCTCAGTGGTTAAGAGCACTGGCTGTTCTTGCAGAGGACCTGGATTCAACGCCCACATCCACTTGGCGGATAACAACTGACTGTAACTCCAGTTCCAGGGGAATTCAACGCCTCCTTCTGACCTCTGAGGGCATTGCATGACCTGGGTGCACCTATCTACATGCAGACAACATACTCAAACACATAAAAGTAAGACAACATATCTCAAACATCATTTTCAATGATACAACAATGTTAGTGAGCATTTAACTTACCATTTAATCCTACAATTTAATCCTATACCTGGGAACAAGTATGATCGTGGTGTCCCAAAAATTTGGGAATGCTATCAATAACCATTATAAGGCACATCATGTGTATCTTATGTGGACAGAGAAGAGCACAGAACTAAGATCTGGGAAACTGTTCCTCATCTACTGGAGTCTGAGCGTAACAGCACTTTGTATATTTCCTTAGGCTCAGAGCATCAGATGAAATCACACATGTAAAGGAGCTTTAAAAACAAAAAGCCATTGGGCATGGTGGCACAGGCCTTTAATCCCGACATTCCCAGCAATGCCAGCACTTGAGATTGCACTGTAGAGGCCAGCCTGGTCTACATATCAAGTTCTAGGCCAGCTGGGGCTACAGGGAAACCCTGTCTCAAAAAAACAAAACTATCAGACAAAAAAACATAAAAAACACTGGACTGGAGAGATGGCTGAGTGGTTAAGAGCACTGACTGCTCTCACCGAGGACCTGGGTTTCTCAGCACTCTCAGGGCAGCTCACAACCATCTGGCGCTCTAGTTCCAGGGGATCTGATCTCATAGGCATTTCAAGCAGAGCACTCATATACATAAAATAAAAATTAAAAAAATAAAAACATGTTATTAAAGTATTTACCAAATTATCAATTATTAAACTATTAACATATTAAGAAGCAGGATTTTGTCTTATTTTGCTCAACAAGAAACTTACTCTTTCACTGGTACTTATTAGGAACACATTAATCAGTTAAAAATTAGGTCTATTCCTTTCTGAAGAAATAGGCAATAATATTTTAGTAAGTTTTCAGATTCCCATTCTGATTCCTCCTGACTGAGTCGACCAAAGAGCACAGCACCCTCAGGACACCTGGAAAGTGGCACCCAACGGCCAGTCACTCAACATTCCACAGGCTAATGGGGTGGAGGATATGAGCTCTAGAATTTTCCTCAGCTGACCACCTAGGCTTCTAACTCATTAACACCTCCACCAGAGGGAGGGCCAGGGAAAGGAAAGCAAGCCAAACTTCCATCCTGTGCCTACTCCTTAACAGTGCTGGTGAGGGATTTGGTGAAACAATGTCTGAGGGTCATTGTAACAAAAAGAGACTTGGAATGAGCCATGGGCTTCATGGATTTCATGGTTGATGCCTGGACACTTTTGCTAACCCCAGTCTCACAGACAAATCCTCACTGACGAGAATTCTAGCTTTGTTTATTTGAAAGGTTGATCTCTTCCTCTTTTACAGCATGGCTCACAAATGTGTAACTTCCTATTATATAACTTGAAATAGTCTCATAAATCACTGTAACTATATTAATAACAACTACAAGCCAGCTTGACACTCTAATTCTTGCAGTTCAAGCAAGACATTTTTAAAGATGGGAACTATATCCTCAAAACATAAATGTTGGCTTTGCTAATGACATAATAATAGTGTTGTGGTGAACCATTATCAAGGAAAAATGTCAGGGCCAAAAATAGATCCACAATGTCCAGGCCTGGCTGAGGTCATTCTGTGATAATCTATGGGTGATTTTGACTCTGAATATAGAAGCTGGCGAGTCTCAGAAGCACAAGTGTTTGCCAGCAAATCCCACAAGTGAAATTTGTAATTTGGTATGAAGCATTTGGAAAATGATGTGTCTGAGATATTTGAGACCAGATGCCTTCAGAGGAGCATCTTCTTTCTTTTTCCTTTTCTTCTTTTTTTGGGGATTTGGGAAAACACTGTAAACTTTATTTCTTATTCATACAATTTCAGAAAGAACATGGTATCTATTAACATTTCTTTGAAAAACACTTTCATGTTAAATTAAATAGCTGCAGAAATCTCACCTCACTTGCAAGGCATTTTTAATCACTGTAATCATCAAGAGCCCTAAGTGATTCTCTGCTGTAAGGCAGTTCTAGGAATCTCCCCTCATCAAACAAATATTGTGAATTATTTACTAATTTAATGTTCTGCATTTGATAAATATATGGCTTATTATATATGCACAAGTGATCTAATTTTGATAGTTAATTTCTAAACTTGAAGATGGCACTGTTTAGTTCCTTATACACAGAGCCAGCAAAGTTTCACATATAGTGCTGTTGTTTAGTTTAGTTTTGTTTTTTCTTAATTTTTTTTGAGACAGGGTCTCCCTGTAGCCCCAGCTGGCCTGGAACTCACTTTGTAGACCAGGCTGGACTTGATCTCACAGAGATTGCCTGCCTCTGCCTCCTCAGTGCTGGGACTAAAGGCATGCGCCACCACTCCTGGCTACACATATTTTTAAATAATTTCTTTGCGTTCAACTTAGGATTTTTTTTTCCAACTCTGTACTACAGTAGAATTTATTTTGCTATTTTGTTTGTTGCCATTAATTAGTTACTTGACCACAGATGTTCATATAGTGGTTTAACTAAATTCATTTCCATTTCTCTATAGATTAGAAATGTCTCAAAGTGAGATTCCTGGAGTTTTTGCTTCTCCTCAGATCCTCATAATAACCAGCCACAGCTTTGACCCACAGAAACCACTGCGTAGTTATTCAACAAATACTCAAAGTGTTGTTATGGTGATTACTGCTATTTGTAGTTCTAGGTTGGGGGTCCATGACCTCATACATGCTAGGCAAGTGCTCTGCACTGAGATTCTATCACTGCTGTGGATAAATGGTCCAGTAGCACGGAATGTGTCTATATGCCAATGTGAATGTGGCTGGGGAATATAAATTACAAGACGTGTTCATGAAGAGAACATTGAACTCATGCCTCAGCCTCTACATACCCTGTTTTAGCTCTTTGCCTAACTTCATCTCTGATGAGCTGGTTTGGGGTCACAATACCACCCTAAAAACTAGCGTCATTTGTATTTTGAGTTGTAATCATACAATTTCAGCACATAGTTTATCCACAATGATATACCCAACATTTCCTTCTGGATTCAAATTCTTTTTCAGCATTAGAATCTCAATAAATCAAATGTAATGTGTTAACAACAATCAGAATGTCAGCATCATTCAATAGTTTATTTCTACATTTTAAGAAAAGTAAGACAAAAAACAAACAAAAAAAATTAAGACAAATATATTCATGGACAACTTTTATTTTGTCCTAGGAATCGTGACTTTCATTTAGAAATATTCCATTTAAAAAAATATGAGACCAGTTTTCAAAATGATTCCACCTACTCATCCAAATCTGAGCAGGAACGTACTGTGACAGCACTGTGCAATCTGGGTAGAAACCCACGTTACAGTAGAGAAGTGAATATGTTTTTATTATCTTGAAATACAGTGCTACATCCCAATTATTCTAATATGGAATATTTTAATCAGGAAACTGTGCTAGCAGTTGATTTTTAATATTGTAGGCTAATCCAGAGTAACTCGGTCTTTAAGTCGGAGACAAAAAGTATCCCAGCTTTTCCTTTCATCTTCTTTGGGCATAATTAGGAAGACATCCCAAGACCTCTCCATTCCTTGACTCA